GCCGATCTTCACGGTTCTGCTCGTGTCTTCCCCGAGTGTGATGATTTCGAATTCTCCGTTCGGGATGGGGCGTGCTGGGTGGGAGGGCTGCCCGTTGGCCTCGCTGGTCTTTATTTCGGGATCGTGCTCCTCGGTGAAGCGACTGTCGAGGTCCACGGATCCGACCAGCTTCTTTGGTTTGCCCTTTGGTGCTACGATTGGAGTTGTCCTCTTGGTCGTTGGAGCGATGGAGTCTAAACCTTTCAGCACGGCCTCAAAACACCTTCGGGCGGCCTCGATGTCTCCGTTAAGGGTCACCACGGCCCCCCGTTTTGTGTAGTATTTCATCTTCAGGTGGACGGTGGAGGGCACCGCGGTGAGTTCTGCTATCGTTGTTCTGCCCAGGATACAGTTGTAGAGGGACGGGCACTCGATGACTAAGAAACAGATGCTGATTTCCCTGGCTGTTTCCTCTTCTCCGAAGGTGACTTTCAGCTCCACGTACCCCAAGGTCTCGTCGTCGTCCCGTTGAACCCCTGAAGGTCGGAGCCTACGTAGGGGGAAAGGTTGGATTCGTCGAGTTGGAGGGTTGTGAACAGGTGCGTATACATGATGTCAACTGAGCTTCCCCCGTCGACGAGGATGCGCCTGACGTCGAAGTTTGCCATCCGTGCTCGTATGAGCAGGGGAATGTTGGAGTTGGGGGATCCCCCGGGGAGTTCCTCGAGGTAAAATGTGATCGGATTGGATCGACCTTGGAATTTTTCGAGCGTGCTCATTTTTCCGGAGTTGTTCGTGATAAGCTCGTTGAACTTTCTTTTCACTGATCCTACGGACAGGTTCCTCGTGGTTCCACCTGAGATGACCATGGTTCTGGCGAAGTATTCCCATCGGCTGATTGGTCGGATTGGTTCGCCGATCAGGTCGGGTCCTTCGGGAAGACCGAATTCTCTGTCCGCGAACCAATCCTCGGGGCGGATGACACAAAGTGCGACCTGGAGCCTGCTGTTGTCCTCTGGAGAGGGGAATTCCTCGACTTTCTTGGCCTCTGGGGCCTCTTTCCTCGGTGGTTCGCCTCCCCGGGTGTATCTCTTCAGGTGACCGTCTTTGATCAGGATTTCGATCGCATCCTTGAGATGGATGCAGTCTTCGGTCACGTGCCTGTGGCTCCTGTGGAATCGGCAGTATTTTGATTTGTCCACATTGGGTTTGGGGGGCGTCGATCGCGGAAAACGGACACCTCCCTGGACGAATTCGGTTTTGGCGCATTCGGCCAGTATGCGCTCGCGGGAAGCGACCAAGGCCGTGTACTCTGTGAATCGGCCGGCAGGGCCTCGTTGTTCGCGTTGTTCGCGGGGGCGATCTTCGTGACGGCGGTCCCCTCCTCGTCGATGGCTCGAGGCTCCGTCGTCTTGGTGCCAGCGAGGGGCCTCTCTGTCTCGGGTGTCTCGAGCGGAGTTGGCCGCTTGTGTTTCTTCGAATCGGATATAATGCGCGGCTCTGTCGAGGAAATCCTGGAGGGAGGTTGGCCGGTGTATGCCTACGGCTTCATAGAATTTGGAGTTGTAGCGTAGACCCTGCTCCATTAGGTAGCGCTTCATCTCGTCTGACGTTGTTACTTGCACTGCTTCTCGGGTAAATCTTTCGATGTACTTTCGGAGAGGTTCGTCGGGGCCTTGGATTATCGCCCCGAGGACGGCTTCCGTCTTCGGGTGGCGCCGGGACGCCGTAAAGTGTTTGGAGAACAGGTCCTTCAGGACTCTCCACGACGTGACTGATTCGGGGTCCAAACTTTTGTACCAGGTCATGACGCCTTTCCTCAGGGTCGTCGGGAATAGCCTGCACTTGATAGCTCCCCGGATGTTTCGGTAGTAGAGCATGGCTTCGATGTCCTCTAGGTGATCGTCCGGGTCGGATGTGCCGTCGTACATCGATAGCGTCGGGGGTTTCTCTATCCCGTGGGGGATGGGGGCAGCCATGATTTCTCGGGACAGCGGGGTGCGATAATCGTCCTCGTCGCTGGGAGCCGGGGACTGATGGGGAGACAAGCCGTTTAGAATAGGCCCCTGGTTTCGGGTTCTCGACCTCCTGCCTGGGTTTTCGTCGCGAGGATCCCTGGCCGGGATCGCTGCAGTGTTCTGGTGCCTCTCGCGAACTTGTCTTGTTGGGGACCTGGTGCGTTCTCGCACCACCTGTGTGCGGTGTCTCTCCAGCCGCGGTCGGTGATTTCTGGGTCGAGGTGAGGGACTCCTCGAGCCTCCGTTCTGGTCTTCCCGCGGGGGGGACCTCGGAGAGCCGACGCGCTCCAATGCTTCAATCATTGCGTTCTGCTGGAACAGCAGCTGGTTCGTCTGGTTTATGGCCGTAAAGAGGGCGGCCACCGTTGGGTCTGCTCCCGCCGGGATGGGAACGGGTTGGAATGCTGCCGGGCTCGGGGGCCGGCGGTCGGCATGAGGGAGCCGCTCTGCGGATGACGGTGAGGCAGTTTGGCCGTCTCTCTCGTCAATTTCCTCCGGACGCGACGTTTCCATCTGCTTGTTCCCGTTGGTGGCGACGTTGAGCACAAAGTCGTGCAGAGTGTCGTCGCGGTGTGGGCTAGCCATGATCGTGGAGTGTTGGTGAAACTTTGGTTTTCTGCTCGAAGTAACGGGGAAGTTTCTATTCCCACAGACGGCGCCACTGATCTGACCTGATCAGAAGGGGATCACGGGTCGGCCACACGTTGTTAGACTGCTACCTGTTCACCGGTGATGAGGAGGAGAAGGGGGTGTACCTGCAAGACACTCCGATGCCAAAGTAAGAAATTGGGCAGAGTGAGAGCAAAGCACAGAATTGGGGTAAGAAGTGAATTACCTGACCCTCTTGAGGAAGAGGGTATTTATAGAGAGACCCTAGCGTTGGGGCAACGGTCACTTGCGTTGGGTCATGGATTGCCAGACCCAACCCAGATGACTGCTAGGGCTTACGTGGCGTAGTGAAGACCAGGACGTGGTCTTCGCCCTAGTCCAACTGCTCCTTGATCTCCGGAAAGTGGGTTTGACCTGCTCTTTCGGAGGTGGGCAGTTGGTTGCTGACGTGTCCCCGCAGAGGGGAGCACGGGGAGAGCGTGCGGCAGGCACGTTGTTCTCCCCGTGGATGGGAGCTCGGGAGGTTCCCCGGAGGCGCGTTGTTCTCCCCGCGAAGGGGAGCACGCGAGGACGCGGAAGAGCCACGTGTTCTCGCCCGATGGCCCGGGGGCGTTCTGTTCGGCTAAAAGGGGGCGCCAAGGATGCTTCGGGACGTGCCGTCCTGCTCGGCGGGGAGCGTATCCTGCCCGTCCTAGGGGGGTGTGTGCCCGGCCAGGCTATTCCATTTAATGGGCTTTGTGCGTTATTGAGCTGGACCGCGAGACTGGGCCCAGTCCAGAATAATATCTAATACATCATTAAACCAACCTTAGATTTAGGAAGTGATTTTATTTTAATTTAGTTATCATTAATTATGATGGAAGACATTCTTTAATATTTTTACACTCTTAAAATGAAATCTGTAATTGAATTAAGTTTGGGAATAGGCGAAACTCTAACAATTATTCCTAATGTTTACTATCTTTATCCACTTCTTCTAAATGGAAACAATTGATGATAATGTGAAGTAGGTATTATCAACAACCGATTAAGTTGCAGTTTCCTTATCCGACTTTGGCCATCTTTTTAAAGAAGCTACAAAGTGAACAAAATAAAAAAAAGCCACACTAACAAGTAGTATCACCAAAGAAGCTAAAGAAGCTTCTCCAATCGAAGCAATATGGGCAAGAAAAAGGGATGGGAAGATAAAACCTCTTTCAATTCAATCAATGCACGCTATGGAACAGATCATCACAGAATTGACCATACTAGGCAACTATGGCCTACATGATGTTCTTCTTCATCTACAAATGAGAATATTTGTTTTTTCTTTCTTTCTCAACTGATAATTTACTAGAGCCCAACGCATTACGCCAATGCAACTCTTTGCTACAAGCAACAACGTCACACTAGACTCAAAATCCAATTATAATCACTCAAAAGAGTCCTACACTACTTTCATAACTCATCTCCTCAACTTTGGATTTATAATTTATACTGTATGATTTTTTATTTGATTTTACATTTTTGTTACCTTTTTAAATTTAAAATAAAATAAAGATATTAATATTTTAAGCTTACAATAGATAAGCTTAGCTTCACTACAAATATTTCATTTATATCACTTTTTATTTATCGGATGATTGTAGTGATACTTTTACAAAACACTTCCATTAATTCTTCTAATATCAATTATTTGTTATAAGTTATCTATCAACAAAGATTTATATAAAATAACATTTTTTTCAACAAATGAAATATTAGAGATTCAAATTCGCGTCTATATATTTAATATCTTTACATAATTATTTACATAATTATTAGCTGAACTAATTTAACTGAATATTTATATACACGGATATAAAATAAAAATATACTGAGTAAAGTCTAAATCACAAAAATCATTCATTAGATTGCATATTTATTAAATCAATCACAAGTAATCTTAACAAATTTTTTTGAAAGCAAGTAATCTTAACAATTGATTTAAATTGGATGGCCGAGGTCAATAATTGTTTGACGCCTTAAAATTTATTCTCGTGCCAATATAAATTTCTCCAATAATTAATTCATTTTCATTTGGTACAATACAAATATAAATATTATTATTATTATTATTATTATTAGTATTATTATTATTATTATTATTATTATTTAATTGTATTCTCAAGGAAGTTATTTCAGCTACTAAGATAATTGTGCAAGAAATCTCATATTTTGAACATGCAATGTTAGTTGTTGGGATAAGGATCAGCTGCCTCTATGGCACCAAACGTATGGTAACTTTAATTGATTTTAACCATTTAAATCTAAGTTATTTTCTATCCATTCTTTTAACTAATTTCCCTAAACCCAAGTAAGTTTTCATTTCTCTATATAAAGGATTCCAAGCCTTTCATATTTTCCCACAACAAAATGGAAATGAAGAAGCTCTTGTTCGTTTCCTTATCCCTTGCTTTGATTTTTAGAGCAACCAACACCTTTGATTTCAACGAACATGATTTAGAATCAGAGAAAAGTTTATGGGATTTGTACGAAAGATGGAGAACTCACCACACAGTTACACAAAGCCTTCATGAGAAACATAATCGCTTCAACGTGTTCAAAGCCAATGTTATGCATGTCCACAATACCAATAAATTGGATAAGCCTTATAAGCTTAAGTTGAACAAGTTTGCAGACATGACTAACTATGAATTTAAGAAGATCTATGCTGATTCTAAGATTAGTCATCATAGAATGTTTCTTGGTATGTCAAATGAAAATCGAACATTCATGGACGAGAATCTGGAAGGTGTACCTCCTTCGATTGATTGGAGAAAGAAAGGCGCTGTCACAGACATAAAAGATCAAGGCCAATGCGGTATGAAAAATAATTTAAATTTATATATATAGTTTCTTTGGTCTATGTATTTTTTAATTTATTAAATGATTAATATATCTGATCTATTTGAATTTGTTTGAATTGTCGTATAGGTAGTTGTTGGGCGTTTTCGACGGTTGTAGCGGTTGAAGGTATTAACCAAATAAAAACACAAAAGCTAGTTTCATTATCTGAGCAAGAACTTGTGGATTGTGACACTAAAGAAAATGAAGGATGCAATGGTGGGTTGATGGAATATGCTTTTGAGTTCATTAAACAAAATGGTATAACAACTGAGACCAATTACCCTTATGCTGCCAAAGATGGAACTTGTGATTTAGAAAAAAAGGTTAGAATTAATTGTTAAGAGATTTACTTTATATGTAGTCTTTTATATTTATTAATTGAAATAAAAATAAAAATAATACACAATATTCAACTAATTAGTTCCGTTAAGACAAATTAATTGATAGTTGTGTATAAATATCAAATACATGAGTGTTAAAAAGTGAATATTATCATTTTATGTAGGAGGATAAAGCAAAAGTGTCAATTGATGGGTATAAAAATGTGCCAAAAAATAATGAAGCTGCATTGCTGAAAGCTGCTGCCAAACAACCTGTCTCTGTAGCTATTGATGCTGGGGGATATAATTTCCAGTTCTATTCTGAGGTAAATTTTAAGTCTATTAACTAAAAAAAAGAAAAATAGATGAAATTTTAAGTTTAAGTGCTTTATTTTGCTGATTAATGATTTTAAATCCTAAAATAAACTCTCTGATTTTTAATATTTTAAATCATTTTAAAGAACCAATAACCAGATACATCAATTCTTTAATAAATTAGTAACTCATTATGCAAAGTAACACATCAATTTCAAATTTACATTTGTTTGATAACTTAAATGTCAAAAATTTATCTTTTAAAAACCAATAATAGGGAAATCTATGCATAATATTGGTGTGTGGTGATGGTTAAGAAAAATATAGTTATAATTTCAGGGAGTATTTACTGGACACTGTGGCACTGATCTGAATCATGGGGTAGCAATTGTTGGGTATGGTGTAACTCAAGATAGAACAAAATATTGGACAGTGAAGAACTCATGGGGAAGTGAATGGGGAGAACAAGGTTACATTAGAATTCAAAGGGACGTATCTCACAAAGAAGGTCTATGTGGCATAGCTATGGAAGCTTCTTATCCAATCAAGAAATCATCTACCAACCCAGCAGAAAGTTCTACTCTTAAAGATGAACTTTAAATTATACCAAAAGTTGTATTTTATAGTACTTGATAATCATTTGTTAATGCAACCATCGAGGTTCTTATGCTAAGGTTATGTTACATAAAAAGTTTTTAATTACTTGTATTTTATCTTTTTCTGGTGGGAATAGAACATATTATGTATTTGGTCGTTTTAATATATGTGGTTATGAACTTGTTAAAAGATGTGATACTCTTATAATGAACAACCAGAATGGAGAGGTAGTGAAAAATGCATTTTAAAAACAATGCATAAGTGAGATCGTGAGAAAAGTGAATAATTCCTCTCCGAAACAACTAATTCTTACTCGCAATCCTGTCCAAACACACTCTCCATCCAAAGAACTTAATCTTCATAGGAATTATAGAGGCCCACAACCCGCTGAACGCAGAAGAAACATGGATAATAGAAAGAAGGTTAATGCTAAGATCTACACCAATATGATAACAAGATCTCACTAAGAACTTTTTCGACTCCTCCTTGGTCCATAATACATCATCAGCTTTTCCCTTAGTTATCACCTGTGATTCCAACAATTCCAACAACTCACACAAACAAACAACCATGGTCTCCCTAAGCTCTTCAGCCTAGACTTCTGAATGAGGAGATTCTCTTTCAGAAATAACTTCTTCCAGAATTCATAGCAAAAAAGATTTATGTTAGCAATAAGGTCTTCAATTTCTCCTGAGAAACCCTCAACAAGGAAGGCATCAACCCTGTTAATCCCCTCCATATTCAATCTTAATTGTTTGCATTACTTGTCATTGATTTCTATGGAAGGAATGCAAGTCTCTTATTTTGTTTCAATTTTGGTTTAAATGCACTTTTGTCCCTTTACTTACATATTTTTAAATTTTTAGTCTTCTTTAAAACTATTCAGTATTTTGGTCCCTCAACTTTATTTTTTTTGAGATTTTTTTGATCCCTTCCACTTTTTTTTTGGAACTAAGATAAAATTTTATTTCCAAAACCAATCAGTACAACCGATCTTAAAGGATCTAGGAAAAGCAACAAATCAACAAGGCTAGGCTATGCTTAATGTAGTAGCATTTACATGACTATTAATATTTCTATTCAAAGTACTCCTAATGACAATATTGTGTATAATACTATCTTTTAGCCTAATGTGTTTAGGCTTTTGAGAGAATATTTTGTCATTCCTAGCTCTCCAAACACCATATGTGGTTTCTGCAATTGTTACTTTCAACATATCTCTACTCCAACCTTTTTTCTTGGTTTCTTGAATGATCCACTTGTTTCGTTTGCCCAACCTATAGGATTTATTTTTCAACCAAGCCAATCAAGAATGTTCTATCAAATATTATTTGTAACATTGCATTCAAAGAACAAGCGTTCCAAATTTTCCATATGATTGCAAAATCTACAAAGACTGCCGGTTACAATTCCAAGCTTAGCTAGTCTATATTTAGTTGCTAACCTATTTTAGAGAGCAATTTGTGACCGGCTGCCACCTCCTGATATCTTATTGGTCTTTATGATTTCCTGCGGAACCTGCTCATTAAATCCACCAAAATAAACTTGACATTTTGAGGGATTCGCCTTCATGCCTGTAACATCAGAGAAATCCTAGAAGGCTGCCAAAATCAATTGCACCGACACTTCATCACCATGAGAAAACAGAATGAGGTCATCAATAAATCAGATATTAGTTATGTTCAGTTTCTCACACTTGGAATGAAAGTTGTAGATTGGGTTCTTCTTAAGTTTCTTAAGACGTTTATTCATATGCTCCATTATAATCACAAATAGAAATGGAGATATTAGAGCTCCTTTCCTCAACCCTATATTTTCTATGAGTAACTCACTATTTTGAGCATTAATGCTATATTATAAGAAATAGTTCTGACACAAACCATAACCCAGTTGATGAATTGTGCAGGAAATTTCATTTCTCGTATAATGATTTCTAGAGCATCCCACTCAATAGTATCATAAGCTTTTTGAATATCAATATCAATAGCACACTTGGGAGAAATATGCTTCCTATTGTATCCTCTTAATAGTTCATGAGTTATCATTATGTTGTCATGAATGATCTTTCCAGGTGCAAAAGGAAATTGATTTTCACCCGTAATAACACTTACGAATTTGTTCAATCTCATAGTGAACATCTTAGAAATAATTTTGTAGATAGTTGTGCAACATGCCATAGGCATCGTCTCTTTCATGGCCTTTGCCTCTGAATTTTTTGGAATCAAAGTAACACTAGCACAGTTAACACAACATACATTCTATTGTGTTGGAAGAAATCATAGATTGCTTCCCTCGCCTCGTCTTAGATCACATCCAAGATTCCTTGAAATTTTTTGCATTAAATCCATCAATTCCTGGAGCTTTTGTGTCCCCTATGCCTTTGAGAGCTATCTAAATTTCTTGATTAGAAAAACCTTGGATTAACAAATTTTGATGTGTTTCTAGCAGTTGGATCCCCTCTCTAATTGCCACAATATCAACGTGCCTTTTCTGGTGAATGCTAGTTCCCACTAAATTTTTGTAGAATCTGATGACTTCCCCTTCAGTGTATTGAAATTCAGTTAGATTTCTACCCTGATGATCTTCTAAATTGTGCATTCCCGCTTTTTTAGTTTTCTCTATAATAGTAGTATGGAAATAGGCATTATTTCCACCACCCAACTTAAGCCAATTGATCTTAGACTTTTGCATAAGCACTTTGTCTTCAATGTCTATTGCTTACATAAGCTCATCTGACCCGAGTTTGACACAATGTATATAATCCTGGTTTAATAAATCAGTTTGCAATAGGGTTTGGGCTTGCTCCAATTGGCCTCCGACCTCAGTTATTCTCATCATGACATCAGTCTTTTCATTATTTAACTTCTTCATAATAGGATGCAGGCTCTTTAACCTTTTCCATAATTTAATCATAGGATGTCCTTATTCTCCCCTATTCCAACTGTTTCTAACCAGTTCCAAAAACTCTTGAGTTGTATAATAAACTCAAACGTCAAGTTTACAAAGGAATCTTCTTACCTCATCAACTTGAGGAAATGAAGTTTGTGATATCGAACGTTGAAGCTACTTTAAATATTAATAGCGTAATCAAGTCTTTCAAAATGATAAGCTGCAAATTGATCAAACGATCAAAGATCATTATGATTTTCTCAACAAATCCAAACTAGATTTAAATCACACCCCTCTAATTTTGATTTGGTGGAGAGAGGGATAACAAGTATACCCCTTCTCAATCACTAATCCGTATGGGGTTATAGACGATGTGCTAGTTGATGTGGAAAGATTAGTGTTTTTGGAAGATTTTGTGATAGTAGATATTAGTGGCTTCGCTAATTTTTGGAAGACCTTTCTTGGCAATTGGTAATGCAATGATTAATGTGGAATCGGGTGAATTGACCTTGAAGTTCAATGAGAAAGAAGTAGTCTTTAGTGCGCGCGAATGGATGCAACATGTTGAAGACCTAGATGCTTACTACATAGTTAAGGTAACTAAGAGTGATGAAAGAGTTAGAAGAGGTAAATTAACCAACGCAAGTGTATACCTCGCGCCTAATAAACCTAACCACGATAAAGAAGTGCTTAATGAGAGGAAACTCATCAGGAAACTTTACTTTAATCACAATTTAAATTCCATATTATTTCAATTAATCATGTTTATTTTTTTAAAGTATGTTGTTGGAGGAAAATTTGAGAAAGTGGGGAAAAATAATAGATGGAAGAGGAAGAAAATAAGAAAAACTATTATATCTCTCGTGTGCCATCGTAGGCGTATTGGAAGGGTATCACGTGCGCTTTAGAAGGAAATGCGGGCACGATATATTTGTTGGATCAAGTCGTTGGATCTAACCATTAGGAGTAGTCGTTAGCATCGCGCGCGCGATGGACTGCATCGTGAGCGCGATTATATGCAATAAAGCTTATATATAGTGGTTTCTGACAAACTTTTTCTCACAACTATCTTTTTCTATTTATTATAGCTTAATTCTTCACTAATCCAACTATACTCTCTTCTATTTTCTTGCAAATTTTTTGTGTTTGTGTTGTTATAGTATCATGGCTCCAAAAAGAAGCCGAGTCTCACAAGTATCAATCTTAAACCCTTAACCCGCACTAGATGCACCTACCTTCCCAAACTACAAATTTCTTTTCGAGGAAAATGCCGAGAAGTTCCTCAAATTGGATAGCTATCATATAGTGATGGAAAATGCATTCAATTGAGAAAATTTTGGAGGATACAACGAGTTGGTAGAAACGCTTCAACAAAGGTAGTGGGTAAGTTTCCACAACTTAATTAAAGAAACTAACAAGTCTATTAAATTAGAATTTATGCAATTGGTACTTGTCACGATGTCAACTCGTACATGTCATACGTGCGAGGTAAGTATGTTGATTTTAGTGCTCGTGCTATTAATTCTCTTGTAAATCTACAACCCTACGAGGAATGTTCTATTAGAGTAGGAGGAGAACTACTCCTCAAATAGATGAAACTTTAGGCCAATAAATGTTAAATGCATTACGTAGACCTAAAAATGAATGGGTCCTTATGCGCGGTCTCATGTTGAGGCTAAACACCTCCCAAAATTTCCCAATTCCTAGAGCCTGGGCATATTTCTTTGTGCTAACTTTAGAACCTGTATCTAATCAATCGAAGTTTAATGTAAATCGGTGTTTAGGAATTTTCTCGCTTTTAAATTAGAACCAATAGATGTAGGGCATTTAATTCCTCAAAATATCAAATACATGGTTTCCGCACCACAACGAGCTTGTGGATATTTCTGTATTATTAATGAGTTGTGCAGGTTAGCTAGATGGCCCGCTCATTCGAATGATGATGTGTTGGTTCCAAAAGCACCGATAAACTCAAGCACCATGAGAAAATTTCAAGCACACCAACAACAGGGAGGAGTCAAATAAGGTCAAGATAACAACCAAGAGGGGGCTAATGAGCAATTCTACGTGCCAGAAGAGAAGCAACAAGGGGCGTAGATGCAGCCTAATTAGCA